ATGGTTAATGGTTGTTCAAACTGAAAACTCGACTAGCATCCAAGTCTCACCGAATCCTCCACCACCTGAAGCCCTTCTTCGCCCTCAATGCCCCTTCAAACTGGCCACGTTTAATGTGCGTACTCTGATGCGTATGGGACAACAGTCGTGTTTAGCTCGTACGCTCGAAACCTTAGCCATCGATGTGTGTTGTATCCAAGAAACTCGCATTCAAGACTCCAGCTCCATTATCCGATTAACGTCCCCGTCAAACCCATCAGTGAAGTTTCACTTATGCCTCTCTGGGGACACTGAAGCCCCTTCCGGTCACGCTGGAGTTGGCGTGGATCTCAGTGAGAGAGCTGAAAACGCCCTCCCGGACTGGATACCAGTCGACAGTAGGTTGTACACAGTGAGACTCAGAGGTTCGTGCAAGATAAGCAGCCGTCGCCACGATAGATGAAACTTGTTTGTCGTTTCGGTGTACGCTCCAACGGACTGCAGCCCAGATGCAGTCAAAGATTAATTTTACCACAATCTTCACGACCTCTTGCGTAAAGCGATCCGCGCTGACGTGATTTTAGCAGGAGATATGAATGCTCCAGTAGACTGGTTGACTTCGAGTGAGGCGCACCTGGAAGGTCGTTTCGGACTAGGTTCCTGTCGCTCGGAAACCGGGGAAAGGCTGCTGGCTCTCTGTTCCGACCGCTGCCTGTTCCTCGCCAGTACGAACTTCAGGCGCTCCAACTGCCGGTACGTTACCTGGAGTCCGCCCTCCTCGAGTCAGCGACGGACACAGATCGACCACATCGCGATGAGCCACAAAGGGCGGGGTTGCATTCAAGACTGCCGATCGTACTGGAGCAGTCACCTCGAATTCAACCACGTTTTAGTATGCGCCAAGCTGTCCATGTGCTTCGGTGGGCGTTCCGAACGCACGACACGACAGTTAGACTGTGATAAGCTGTCCAAACCAGCTTGTCTGTCTTCCAAAACGCGCTAGCTGAAAAGCTAGAACCAACCTCACCCGAC